TGCTTTCACGCACCCCCTCCTGCTTGGTACATTTAAATCAGAAATATTTTTAGATGTATTGACAACAACCCAAATGTCAAGACTAAGGTTAATTTAGTTTCTATAAGCAGTCTTTGTAAGTCTCCACTAGCTACATGTCGGACATGTATGTACTCACTGTACCCCCTTTTGCTTACTCAATGCCGCAGTCTGAAGTCTTACCCATTGACTATCCGGTTGGAAGCTTCATGGGATGAAAGCCAATATGGGCATGGAACTTTTAATCTGCAACAAGTGACGACTCAATTTATAACAGATATAGAGGGGGTAACTCGGCTGGAAGTTTTTCATTTGGAGAGCGTGTAAAACGGAAATAATCACAAGAAACTTTGGAGATTATTCTGCGTGTTGAATTAATCTCCACTATGATCCAATGTTCTTCAATGAGACCCACCTATCGGAGGTGTTTTGCCTAAAAAAGCAAACATTTTAGATACCTTCCTTTTAATTTCACTTTAAGTTCCCAAAGCTCCGGTCCTGACTTGGAGAAATGTCATCAGGGGATACGGGGGTGAGGGCGAGAATTAGGCAGTAACTCACTTCCATCCTTTCAGGCGATTAAATTTTGCTGCTGTTTGAATGTCTCTATTACTGGTTTGGGTATTTTTGAAGAAGTCTTTCTAATACAGTTTTGGATGGTTTTATGCCCTTTAGATAGATGTCGGCTGGGCTATTAGGTCTTCAGTAAGTAAATAATTTGTGGTCTTTAGAGGTGAGGTGGTACCTTGGAAGTGTGAAATATTGGATAAGCACATACGGATGTCTGTCCGTATGTTGACCCGTCTGGGAGTATGGTGTAGGCGGCTGGAGTCTGGAGGTGGTCCCATTTTTACGAATCTATAAAATTTTTATTGGCTTCTCTGTGACACCAACAAAAGAGGAAGAGTGAATGAGAATGGAAGGTACAAAAGCCTCTAGAATGTTCAGGAGGAAAAGAAAACTTCCAAAACATCAAAATTGGCCCTAAATGATTCTTTGCGGTAAAGTTTGTGAGTTGCCTACAAGAAATGCAGTCAGGTAATGAACTGTAGTGACCACTTAGTGGGGAGGAAGTTGGCACTTCTCCTACTACTGAAAGTAACGTTAAAATGCCGAAAAAACGCGTCGCACTCATTGGCTTCTTCAATATTAATTGACAAAAGGACACGAAATGAAGGGATGAAAGAAAATTTTGAAAAGCCCTCAATCCCTTTTAGAGGTATCACTTACCCAAATTAGGTATTGTCAACCTTTGGCCGATTTGGCGAAACTTACTCTCGAAATCTTGTTTGCTGTAGGTAAAGAAAAAAAATGACCTGTGAGTTGATTAAACAGAGCCGACTGGTCTTCCGTGTACGGAGCACGGAACCACTATCCTTGGGTGCCATCTATTCTATCTGGAGGCATAGTGGTTAGGCGTGGCTTGATCTACCAACTATTGGGATAACCCAACAATTCGAGAATGAATTTCTCTTTCTCACTGACCTCTTTTGAGGCAGTGAATCCAATTTCTACATCTTGTTGTGTAGTTGGGGCGTATAGGATGAAAATTTTGTCTTTTATTTTCCAAATGATCAACATTACACCCAACATTTCTTTCTCACCGAGGCGCCTGCTATCCGTAAATCTCACCGTTCTGGAAATTTCTGTTTCTAAAAAGCAAACAAGTTGGCTCCAGTCATTATTTTCTCTTACTCACTTTTCGTTCTCAACCACCGGATTCCATCTGCGCCTCGAGTTGCTGATGTTAATCGCCTGAAAAAATATAATTGAGGAAATGCGGAGGATGAAGGTAACGCGGTATATTCCTTCTTCTCTTCCACTCTGAAGGGTAGCAAGAAGGATAAGTTCTTGTGTCGTCTTGTAAGCATGGTGCTTTCTCTACACTGAATGAATAATGTGGTTCTACTGTATTGGGGGAATTGATCTTAGGCCAAAAATACTTCCATAGTCCGCTTTTACAGTGCAGAGAGTGTCTTGGGAATTTGAGACAGTGAATGCATCATTTTCGGGACAGTTTAACAAATGCTGAAATACAAAAAGCTATTTGTTAATACAATCCAGCCAGTTAATCAGGCAGCAAACATTCTTTTCTCAACGATACCCGGATAAGTAAACGGAAGAAAGGACAACTTGGCTGTCATAAAGGCCTATTGACATTCGTTGACAAGTGCATCAAGCGTAATTAACCGTAAACTTGGGTACTTTTAGCTCTTTGAGAACTAAAATTGTAAAAATCGTTTTACTTGGTGCAAAAAAGTAACTTTTAATCCATCATTTGCGTGGGCGGATGAGTCGGCTGCATAAGTAGCAATTGTAATTCGTTTGAATATTAGCCAGGGTAGCTAAATATATGCAAAAATCTTCTCCAAATAGCTTGTTTGTTGAATTAATAAGTTTTTAAGGCAACACAGGCTGGCTACGAATTTCACTTTATAAACCCGGTTTTCTTGAGGCTAAAGAGATTAGTTCTAATCCCCTCGGTTGTCATCGAAGAAATGAGTAAGTGGAAGTTGGGGCAGCATCTCCACTTCATTTTTTTATAGCATTCCTGCAGAACACGACATCACGGCAGGGTTAGGGTTGCTTTCTCATTTATTGCCTCGTGAAGACGGTTGCCAGCATCACAAGGGCTTTCTTAATGTCACCTAACTTTACCCCTACGGGTAAAGTGGTATTTTTATGCTAATTCGATGGGAATCCTTTTCATTCAAACAGTAAACTGAGGGTGTAAGGTCAGAAGAAGCCGAAATTAAAAAACAGAGTAGATTAATTCTCTCCAGGTGATGTCCAAGTCCTCTCAATGTGGATAATTTAGCATCAAGGGTGGTCAACCATAAAATGGCCCAGTGGGTGGCTATCTTCAAGATAGATTTTTTAATCCGCTGTTGTCTTCGAAACGTATTTAAAAATATATCGGATTGGCAGTTTGCTCTAACGAAATAAGATGGTGAGCAAAATTGTGCGACACTACCGTATATTACAGGTTTGTTTGAATGCAGGCGGTCAGATTGGCTCAACTTTGTGGCTAAAAAGGCCCAGCCCAACCTCCAGGGGGCAAACAAACTCTGATGCCCTTATCAAACTGGAGTCCTTTGTACCATTTGCAATACCACAACTCATAGTACCTTCCTCTAGCCACTACCTCCTATCTAGAGGACTAAACCTTAGGTAGGATAGGGAAGCACGTTATGGCTTGTCAAACAATACGAAACATTTTTACGTGGTTCGTCAATAATGTTTTCGGATGAACAGGTTAAAACGTCTGTGGAGGAGCAAACGCAGTCACAGTGGAATTCGTAAAGTCTCCTTTCCCAAATCCTTTCGTTGCTCAACTTAAAAAAACGGATGACAATGTCGTGTACTACAGTTTTGCATGCCACATCCGTGGCTTGGGTCTCAAACAGGCTAAAGACATAGGTTTTTTGGTCAGAAAGGAAAGAAGAATGGAATCATTTTCCGTAATCCGTACAGCTGCATTACGCGAGGCCAAGAAAAATACCAGTCAGCTACAGTTAATTTACATTTAGGCTCATTCCTCCTTTCTATCTCCTTATTTATTTCATCAACGCGACCCCAAATGGTCAAGTCCTAACTTGTGAAGAGGCATTGAGTACACGGCAAATACCTTTTTCCTCCTCACCACACGGTTGCCTACTTATCACTCTCTGATAGTAGCTGTTAGTTTTAATATGCAAATATATCTATATAATATTTCCGTGATTTTTCTTTCCTCTCCCTAGCTTCAAATTCTTGAATGAATAAGATCTATTAGGGGATACCACTGCGCACCGTTTTGTGCTGGACCAGAGTTAGTCCTCCTCCTTGGGGATCAGAGAGAGCTTTGTGAGCCATAAGACTATTTCACTTTACTCATGTGGGTAAATTTTAGAATTCTTTACGACCTAGGTTTAAAGTGCTCTCAAGATAGAAAAAGGATAACTTTAAGATGTCCACTCACTATTAAATTATTTAAAGATTTTTTTAAGGAACATGAGATTAATACGCTACTTTAATTTTTCTGTTTGCAGAACCAATAAATATAAACCCGAGGTAACTGCTCTTTAAACCAGCTCTACAAGGACACTCTAGAGCGAAATTAAAATAGCCCCAAAGCCTTAAAATTGCCGATTAAAGTTTTTGCTATCGTTATATAGAAAAGGTAGAATACAAAGGTAATTAATCCGTTTGAAGCCAAACAAAGCTATTCCTTGGGGATTAGTACATTTTCCCTACCAAGCACCAAGTCAAAAACCCACAAGAGAGAAATTTATTAGATGACAAAATGGGCAAAGTTTAAGACGCAGCTCAAGTTCTTTGGGGAACAATCACCCTCTAAGAAGTAAGGTAAAAAATCCAAGATTTTAATTTTGGCAATTTGAAATAAAATACTTAAATAACGAGTAAAATGTGATGTGAAAATTTGTTTGGCAACACCTTTTCAGGTGATAGATGGTCAATTTAAATCTACTTTGTCTCCAAGGTGGTGTCATTCAATCATCGAAGGGGGATGGACTCTGACTCCCCCCAGACCGCTTCGATCTCATAAACTCTCTTTCTAACCACTTTTTTCTGATTAGAAATTTAGAACCTGAGGTGAAAAAGGAAAAAAACGGAAGCGTTATTAGAGTGTGTAGGAGACTGCAGATTAAACTATAGAGACCATGAGTAGTCGATTTGAATAACCCAGTCTTCGTTCACCTTATTTTTTGACATCCAAGGGGGAAGTGGGCATTTATGGTCTTCAACTTTTACTACAGACGAAAAATGAATTTATCAAGCGACCAAAAAGGCCCTTGAGAGGCGGACGTGGACTCGTTGAATGCATATTTTCAATGCGGTACTCCTTACGATGTTCAAGCTTATTTTGACTCCTTAGACCATAAAATATCAGCTAAAATAATTTTACATGTTTGTCGGCTTTATAGACCAAGCTACAGACGATTGCGAAGCTGTGCATGATTTTTCCCCAAATTTATGAAACAGAGTTGAGAGAAGGTTATAAACTACTCATATGCCGTCAGGCAAATTTTCTATTCTTCACGACGAAAAGACAATTGCGTAGCCCGTAGCCAAACCAAATGGGGATTAATTTACCCGTATTCAGTTTTAGCGGTGAGGAGTCAAAGCCAAGCATGGAGGCTGGTAAGACCACAACTGTCACATGCTCTTCGTTAACGGATGACAAGATGCTTTAAAGATAATCTTTTGCCTTAATGAAAAGCATTACATTGATTTGTTTTCTGGCTAATTGATTTGTGATAGGACATGACCTCCGCAATTCAAGGGTCGTTAAGCCAACAGATATGGCCCTAGTTAACTCTCTCCTCCAAAGCAATCGGTCATTAGCCGTCGTCCTGCCTACTCGTTTGTTTGCTTGGTAGGAAGGAGTTTTCCTGCTTCACGTGGTATAAAAGACAGTCACGACTCGTGCCAATCTATTAGTGGGACGTCATTTCCCATTTCTCAAAAAATACGACATAGATTAGTTTTTTAGGATGGGACAGAGGACTGGAGACGCTGATTGATTAACTTAACATCGCCTCAAAGGTATAGGAGTCTGTTTGCCATCCCAGAATAGGCAGTATGAAAGTGGCAGTACGACAGATTTGGATGTTGACGGGGCTAGATTTCTGGCCTTCGGAAGCCAAAAAGGCCTTTATTGTTTAGGAACATTAGCTCTGTCAAGTTACTTGCTATCTTTTGTCATGGGAAAGTGTAGTTCCATAGTTAGCTTCAGACACCAAGATTTGTAGCAGGAGACTATTAAAATTTCCATAGAATTTACATTGCGCCAATCTGTATTTAAGCTTTATTAAGAAAGGTGAGAGGCGATTTGATATTTGCCACTTTATTTTATGTTTGTATCTTACAACTTTACTCAAGAAATGGGGCACCGTTAATGAATCCAACACCCTTAGGTGAGAAAAAACAGTTTTCGACACTTAGGTGACTTAGTTAGATATTATTTTTTCAGCCACCAATAGTTGTATCACATGGATAGCCAATGACGTTTCGAAAACAAAATTATTCGGCAGAAGGTATATACTGCTTGCTTCTCGACTCACGATGATTTTAGTATTGAAATACTTGGGCACTGATTTTTTAAAATGTTGGATTTTGAGCTATGATTGTTGGCTGCAAACGTAAACAATACATTTTTTGATTATTCTCAGTCAGAAAGGTTGTATGTTGAACATTTTCTTTGAATGGGTAGCAGGCGGTCAGATTGGACTAACTTCCTGACTGGGTAGGCGCCATCCAATCCTTTCGGGGAAGACACGCTCTGATTCCCTTGTGCCGCTTTGAGCGTTTCTAAAATTTCACATTACCATGGGACGTGGCACTAATGCAAGAGTCTTAAATCGGGGAGTGAAAGGGGAAAACAGCAAAAATATTTCAAAGCACCTCTAATTCAGTCCACATCTGCTTTTTTGCATTCACAAATTGGTCTTTTTAATTGCAGAGCACAACTTCAGTTGCTTTATAAAAAATCTTAGGCGTTTGAATTAACCATTCCTTCCTAAAAACGCGAAACTGCACGTTTTTATTGAAAAAGGTGAGCTTGTCTTCAGAATAAGCGAATTACTTCTACTCACTTCCGTATTTGGTTGTCATTGTAAAAAATTGGTAACTAGCATTTAAAGGAGAATTAGGGGAGCGCGGAGGAAGGAAGAAATAGCTTTCTCTCCTCCTTCTCCCCCTAGAAATTTGCAAATCTACTTACAGACAAGTTTTGCGGTAGGAAGTGTCACGCTTTTTATTGCCAGAATAACACCTTCATCCCACCGCTTCCGATTATTTCTAAACAGGCAGTTTTCTAGCGCCCAGAATTTCATGGATAACAATCGCATCCGGAGTGTGCTGTGATGAAATCAAGCACAAACTTTTAGGCTTGAATAGGTGCTGCGGGAGTAAGAGATCGGGGATTTAAGAACCGGTCAGAGACCAATCAGGAGAACGTTTGTCTGTCTAAAAAGTGGTCAAATAAAAGAAATTTTTTGCTGCAAGTCAATCAGAAAACAGTATTATAAATTACGTGACAGAATTGAAGGGTACATTGCCAATCACTGACACTTTTAATACAATAAAGCAACTTTCTGTGTGATGTCATCATTTCAATAATTATACTCCAAAAAGTAAAAATAACTCCCTACTCGCCTTTCTACATAATAAGGTCATTTGGATTTGATTTGGTTTAAAATAGGAAGCATTGCCATTTGTTTTTGTCAAAAGTAATGAGCGAGTATAAAAATTGGTTACAGAATCTAACCAATTCCAGTAGATCAAGAATTTCAAAGCTAAAATTTTGTACCCCTACATTTTTTCCTAAAAAGTATACATGTTTTTATTGTGGCGCCAGGAAAGGACCAAACGTACAAATCTTGAGATGAGCAGGAGTGTGCAAAATTTATGACTAAAAGTTGGCATCATTGCCTAGGTTGATCGCACCTATCCGCCATCTGCCAATTTGTGCCTGTGAGCGCTTCTTACCTGCTATTAATTATGTTATGTCGCTTTAGGAACCAAGCTCCTACGTGTTTTAAATCTGCCTAATTCTTTGCCAAATTACCCCATTATTTTAGAATGGAAGACTTTCTTATTTAGAAGTAACTTTAAACTCAGCTCCTAAGTGTATCTAAAGAGATGGATGGCTAACGGGCTTATAGCCAATAAACGTACGAGTGCTCAGTGCATGTCAATGCGATGATTTGAGATATTTCCTTCTGGCAGGCAATTATAATCAGGAAAATGAGCTATTCATATGGGAGGTCTCGATTGAGGGTAAGATGGATGGATTCACAACAATAAGATACAAAGCCAAGCCATAAAAGCTGACTAGGTGTCCTTCAAAATACAAATCGGAAAAAGATAATGGGAAAAACCAACTACTCCAGTCTAGAGCGTCTTATTCTTTCAATAGGACACGGCAAATTGGGACCCAATGCCACAAAGTTATGGCTTGGAGATCTAGATAAGGAAATGGGTAAGTCAAATATATGTGCTACTAGGAGCAAGTCTATCAGAATATATGCTCGATAGTGCTCTCAGTACTTCTGACTATTTTATGCCATCAAAAAGCTAAGTTAAACTTTGTTTTAACTTCTTTGAAGCAAGTATGTAGAGGACAATGAAGGGCAAGCAAGGACACTACACTGTTATCATAGTCAATTTTTCTAACTTCGGAGGTAAATTTTTCGTCGCAGGGGGTAATTTTCTTTCAGCCAGTAAAAAATTAGCAGAAAACATTCGAGTTTTTAACGTAAGTCACGCCAGTCACCCGTTCGCCTGACTAAGGGCTTAGATCCACCGCAAATTTCACCATTTCACACCACTTGATGGAAGGCGGGTGGGGTGAGGGGAATATGTGCGCAATAGGAATGCGGTATGGAGAGGCCACAGGGGACTCCCAGTCTCGGATCCACTTCAGTTATGTGTGTGCGTCCATGCGTGCGCGTTTGTACTTTGGGTAGTTGGGGCGGAAAAAAAATATTTGTCTCCAACGTCGTTTATCCCCTCTGGAATTCCATTAAATCTATATTGAGGGAAAGGAGGAATGTGTTAGTCATCTCACATGCCCATTGCCAGTTGTAAAAATACTGGCTTAAAAGCAGCCATTTAATAGGAGATGGAGTTTAAAATAGTTTTGGGGAGATGAGGTTTCGCGCCTATTCATCCTTGACACTTTGTTTTCACTTCTGTGCTGTCCAGCCATATACCTATTTGGGTTCCACATGGCCATTAGAGAGGTGGAAGATGTATCGCGTATTTACTTAATTGAAATCGTCACATAGGAGCAGTAGCCGGCGCCGTTACGAAGTTTTCCAGATTGCTAACGACTAGTGGACAGAATTCCTGCAAAATAAGGGACTAAGGTAGCTCGCGGAAATCGATGACCTTTTCAGCTCTTCCGTTAGGAGTCTTCACAAATTCGACATCAGCAGCAGATACTCACCTTCCTTCACATTAAGCTTTAGTATCCACTAATAGAAAACACAGCAGTTGATCTTAGGATCAAATTAGCTTGCCACTGCCACCAATGTAAAGAGGTCATAATTCGCAAGAAGTCACAATACTATAGCAACTAGGATATCACAAAACGATCGGACTACGGTATGTACTCCCTTTAGGCCATAATTTGGCCTTCTGTGCAATCCCTCAGCGAGATTCTTTGCAGACGTAGTTCGTCTCGACGAGGACTTGATAGACGAGAATGCCGACTGGACCCACAACGACCCTCCTTTGGGGTAAAATCACGTAAAGACTTGAGCTCAAATGCAAAACAAATAACTACATTGCTCCTTTCTATCGACGTAAGTTTTTCCTTCGCTTGGGTTGCAGGGTTGGGAGTCCACGTGTCTACGGCCTCTCAGCTCATAGGTAACAGTAAACCATTATTCCCCTATAGCTGCAGAGCCGACTCCGGCAGCACTTCAAGCCATTATTGTTCATTCAAACAAATTAGGCATTTTAAAGCATTTCTCAAAATCCTAAAATCTCAATAAACTTAAGACCCATTCAGACTTGATTTATCTTAATAAAAATCAAACTTTGGAATAGATAAAAGATATTTTGGATAATTCAAGGTCTAGAAAACTCTTTGCTTTCAAGTTGTTAAGGTAACTGACGCCCGAATTTGGACGACATTTATGTTAAAAGTACTCTGTTTGAATTAGGATTATTCCATTCAAACAGTTTTTTGATTATTTTAATGCGTATTTTTGCTACATTTCATCACACCACTTTGTTGGCAGCACGGTCAAGAATAAGTGCGCGCTTGAGGTTAGACTGAACGTGCAAAGTAATATCAGGAGAATAAATAACATAGAGAAAAGCTAAAAAGTCTATAGGAGAAGAGCAAAGTCTACTAAAGTTGGCAAACTCTCGTGGTTAGGCAAAAAAGGCTCTTAGGAGAGTTTTTTTTTTGGGCTTTAACTTTGGAGGTTCGCTAGCCGATTTGGCAGTTTCCACCACCAAAAAATAGTCTGCGCTTTGAAAATAATATGAGTACACTTGAAAGATGCATCTTGTCAGTTCAATGTTATTCCACCGAATTTCACTTCCCTAAAGACTTGACGGCATTCTATGACGAGCCCATTTTACAAACTAATCGCTATTCGTAGTGGTTTAGTTCTCACCCCAGGCCCTTGACGGTGGGTACAAGGAGAAATAGAATGAGTAACTAGACTGCCGACAAATGCACCCTCAGACGCGAAGAAGCAAATGAGTGAGCAATGAAGGGGGCTGAAGCAACACCGACTCCACTCACAGGTCTTTGCACAACTCCAGAGCTATATAGTAGTTAATGTCTCTCCTATTTTTCTCTCTGTCAGGTCAGAGACGTCTGTTATTAAGGGTTTGGGAATGTCAAAATATATGTCCCTCTGTCAGTATGTCAGTTAGCTCAATCTATCATCCCAAATTTAGCTCGATTCCAAAGCTTCTTGAGCATCTCGTACAGCTTCATAGAAACGCATCACTCAAGGATTATCTTGTCAAGAAGAGCTTCTGATGATGCATAGTGTCACCTCGAATCTGAAATGGGAAGAGAAAACCATGAAAGTTAAGTGAAGTAAATATATGCCACATGCCGTGCATTTGTGGTCAATGGACAACAAGCTTCGAAAACGACAATTTTACTCTCCGTTTCTTTCATGCGTGCTGTCTGTAGGTTGTTTACTGACAGGCTTATTGTGTCATGATATACGTCTAAAGCAACGTTTGACTGCTAGAAAATTGTTTGTCTAGTGGGTCCAATAAAAAAACCGCTTACTTTTTGGAAGTCAACCAATCAGAGCAGAGATCGATGGTCAGCTCAAAGGCTTGCTTTAGGCTAATCAATTAAAGTGACAGTGTCAAAAGTGAATGAGAGACCCTGTCCTCCGTATCCCCTTAAAAGAAAAGTGTCCAAGTGATGATTACCACCTTGTCTTGACACTAGACACTTACCTGACCATGAGTGAGACAGACTAGAGAGATGGGGTATAAAAGTAAGGTAAAATTAAGAGTAGCTAGCTGGGGGACAGGAAGGGGGTGGTGTAGGTTGTTTGCTGCTCCTAAGGGCAAAACATCCCGGCAAAGTAGAATTATCTGTCAGCTTTTAACCTATTGAGGAAAAGATGAAAAATAATTGCCGCGGCTTTTTTATTTTGCTGGAAGCAAAATCGTCCACTATCACGGAGGTAAATAATGAGGTTGGAAGCAGGTTAAACACAAGTTGTGCATCTGTTTACGTCCTAATTTGCGACATCCCTTAATTCACTAAAACGTGGACGCAGAAGCAGATACACACACTTGTAAGTGCTGGGGATGTAAGAAACAAGGTCGTTCTAGGCGGTTAAATAGGCTTAGAAACAAATAGACGTAAAATGAAAACAAAACCGAATTTCTCCTTTCAGTTTGTGGGCTAAAGTGTCGCTCTCCGACTCTTTCCTGATGTCAGAATAAGCTACCAGCATGCCCAAAATCAGCTTGCTGAGCGGACCTACAATCTGTAGAGATTCAAGGTCCCCCGTCATTTTGCATGTCAGAAAAGAAAATTATTAAAATACAAAAAGAAACCTTTAGTTCTATTGTTTCCCTATTTGAACCAAAATATCTGTTATGCTGTTTAAACCGAATTGTCAGTCCATGCTGCTAAAATCTTAGTGTTTACAAATTCTCACAAAATAAGCCACGAGGGACTCTCAGGTGCTGCGCTTACACCTGTAGCCGAAACATATTTTGTGGATTGATCATGTCGGGACCGGACACCAGACACTCAAACGGTGACGGTGCATGTGGATTTGACATTTGAAAGAAGATGAAAAAATCGCAACTATCCACTTGCCCAGAAGATGAAACACTCAGGCGTATTTTTGGTAAGACCTTTGGGAGGTCTATGCTCGCCGGTCATAAACGAAAGTCAACCAGCAATGCACCTATGTATGGAAGTTCTGTTATAGCCGTTTTTACGATGATCTATCGAAGCCTAGGATGCATTGCGTGTAATACGCAAAGTATTTGTTTAATTCTCGGTTTCGACAAAAGGTTACGTAGAGGCGCCGCCATTGTACCTCTGCCAAGCGACTTAGCCTTCAGCCCTTTTCAGCCACCTTAAGCTCTACCACATGTCGGCAATATATAATCTGTGGAGTATAATGTCTTCTTTTGTCTTCAGAGGAGTTTTACGACACTGCATTGGTGACAACGAAAAGGAAATCCTACTTTAAAAGAAAACTATTCTGATTTCTACCTCCAAGTAATAAGCCTTAGCAGGGCGGAAGAAGTGTCAATGCTGCGGGTGGGAGAATTGGTCACTATATCCAACAGAAGGGCTGAAAATGGCGTCTACCTCGGGTAATTACCCCACTCCCATGATCTGTAGAAAAGACTGATGACCGAAGTGATGCTAACCGTGAACAATCTGAAACTTTTTTATGAAGCTGTCTACATTATCCGTATGAGTATATCAAATAGGTGAACACGCGATGCCTCCTTCACTTCTCTACTAGCTGCGTAGAACGCAGATAGATAATAGGTGATCGGCATTGAAACGGGAAAAAATGTGACAAGAAGGAATAGACGCGGAACCCACTCCCCACGGAACTATGCTAAACCCCGTCCTTTGTTACAAGGCTATGATTTAGGTCTGTGTTCTTAAGACTAGCGATAGACATGGGTGGTGGCCAACACATCACACTATCTCACCAAAACAGTTCCCATACAGGACAAAATCCCAGATCCAGCATAGTTGATGAGAAGGATTTCTGACGCTAAAATCAAGTATCTCTTCAGCTGCATGGCAATTCGACAACTGGCACGATTGGCGCTTGTGTGTTTTGCCTTACAGAACCGAGTACTTTATGATGGACGATGCTAGGGGTTGACCAAAGGGAGCGCTGATATCGACGCTTAAAAGGGTGGAGAGGATGTAGTAGATGGGGTGTTTGTTTAACTCTTGGTCACTAAGATGTTCTCTCATCGTACCTTAGCCAGGTACTAACCCCGAAGCCATGCCAGTAATCCCAAGTCCTACGGTATGTCTAACTTATATATTTTGCCCGAGTACTATGTCGTCTTCAGGGAAGCCTTTGGACTCAACATTACGGAATTACACAAGAGAAGAATCTTTACAGAGGAACAGTAAATATTATCCTTCACCAGGCCAGCTTTTCGTTCTTAACCAGTACAAAGGGTCCAATGCCTTATTAGGTAGTTTGTAAAAAGAAAAGTGAAAACCGAACCAGTTAGGCAAACCTTCTTATTTTTGATGCAAAAGAGCATCAAAGCAGCTTCCTTCTAGTGGCTTGAGTTTTAGATCTACCACCGCGTGGCTTTAGTCAATCAGGAGAGTTGGACTTAAGCACAGAGCCTCAGATTGCTTGAAAACTACCAGTGAATAGCGGAACTTCCAGAAAGTCTAAAAGGCAGCATTTTCTAGGGTCACACATTCTCACCAAGTCTCCACTGTATTTCCCTTCTAAGTATCCCTATTGATGTCAAATCTGGAAACTTTTATATTTTGATCTGCCTGGAAGGGCTCTTTGCCAATAGCGTAACTTAATCTCATCAAATTAGATACTTAAAAGAAACAGTAGGGAACAAAGCCTTAAATAATAACATGACTTACCTTCTTTGGAATTCGCACTCAGCCCTCTCTCTCCGCAGGACAGGAATGAAAGCCACGTAACAATTTTCAGCTACACTTTATGTTTTTTATTTTTAATACTTTTGAGACACAACATTCCCTTCTCAGTTAGTGTAAACATGCATAAATGCATTGTTTTCCCATCACTCCCCCTTAATATTCCTGGAAATCCTAACTAGTATGTCTGGCTTGAGCCAACGATGACAGGTAACTCCTAGTCTTCCCTATTCCATCCTTCAGTGATTCATTTTTTGGTTTCGTCACCACACCTCCAAACACTGGTCAAAAAACTGGTCAAAGGGTTCCCTACCTCTAGGAGATCTGGCTAGGCTAAGGTCGTAAAACTAAGTTCAAAAAACAACTTTCAGGGTAGTTCAACCAATATATTGTGAGTTGAGGATTCTTGTGGGATAAAAGAGAGGACAATAGAGAGTAAAGTACTCAAGGAGGGGTATCTCTGCCTGATAATGCAATTACAGGGATTTGACAAGTTCTTACCGTCATAAAAAGTGTCTGCATGATCCCCAGATGATGGTTCTAACTAAGCGCATTTCGAACGATATAGTATCATTCCCGAGTTAGCGTTTTCTATGATCTCCTTCTGATTAAACAATACAACGTGAAGACACCTCAGAAGTGCTGATGTCTACATCGAATTCAAAATCGAGGAAAATTATGGAAACATCCCTGGGACTCGGCACTTCAGCTAAAGAGCATGCACACATCGTATTCCGGTTGTACGTAGGCCGTTGACACTAAAATCTTGATCGAGGATGTTTTTATTTATCAACCGTTCTAGTTGGCAGTGCAACGAGGTCCAAGCTCACATACGTAAACACCAGTTCATAAACAAGGAGCTATACAATCACGTAGTCTGATCTAAAATGGTAGTGAGTTATCCAAAGGTAAAGATGTAGGGAGTTATATACTTTTTGCTAATTAATAAAACAACAATTTGTTATTGCGTAATACGTTGGTTGCTAGATTAACGCCTGATTATGGCAGAGGCGCCACTTAGGTGCTACTCCATAGTACTTTCGTCGGGTAGCCTTCCCTCTGGGCCATGACAGCAGCCCCAAACCCTTCTCTACGTAGACAATATGCGTTCTGTCCGAGTATTATGTCTTCAACTGGCTTCAGGGAAGTTTCGATGAGCTACATTTGTAGCATCAGCTGGGTAGAACCCAGATAGATATAGTTGGTCAGCACTAATGTGGGAGCAAAGCTGCAATGAAGAACTCGGCTTTTGGACTAGTATTCCTATGACTAGCGTGATGACCAGCGAAGTTCTTCGTCTCTCTAAATCTGATTATCATGCAGAACGAAACTTCAGACCCAGTAGATTTGCCAAGAGGTACCACCAGACCAATTCTCTAATGTGCTAGAAATAGCCGAACCCATCAATATGAACTTCGAATACACTTAGCAATTAGTTCACGTTAAGACAATGGGAGATTTTGGTTTAAAAATTGATTAGGTGTAAATAAAATTATCAATCTTTTACACCTTATTCAAATAATTGGCGGACTTTCAAAGCTCAGCTAGTGATTTTAAACGCTTTCCTCCTAGTAAGTGTATTCTAAAAAGTTTAGAAGGGGGTGGAAAGAATCTTAGCAAGCGTAAAGGCGAAAACTTATTATATGATAATGTAAGTTCAATCAATTCACTTTGTGCTTTTTTTAGAATATTAATGGAAGAACAGGCACTTAAAACTTGCCTTATCCTGTCTAGGTTTCTAAAAATAACATCGCAAAATGTTCCTCAGCACTAGCGATTCCCTTTTAAGCTTCCCGTATTTCTTAAAAAAAAAAACATAATTCAAGTCTAAAATAGGTCTACAAACTGGAACTGGTTTGCCTGAAAACTCCGGTCAAACCATTATGTTGGGAGAGTATTCAATCATTAAAACAAAGAAAGGTGTATTTGATTTTCTATTTATAAGACGTAATCCTCCAAGTTCTTGTAAAACTTCACAAAAATAATGTCTGTCGCTAAAGCACAAAGGTGTGTGGATTGATAACATTCACAAATCTTGATATTAATGTACTGACTTAGAGGGTTTTTCCTTCTGCTTACAAAAGCGTTTTCCCCTTTTAAGTATTTTTTTCTGATTGCTATATAGAAAATCTGTCGCAGAAACTAAATCGGGTGGAAATGCAAATGAGCTAATTAGGAAAAGATAGCGCCTGCCACGTCCAAGCAGAGTTAAAGTGAATTCCTTTCAAAGCTAACTATCTACAAACAAGTCTTTTTTGCCGTTTAATCATTTTTATAGGAGCAAATCTCTAACCAAGAATGTATCAGAGTTGCCAGCATTAATTGTGCTTTTCGATTACATTGACTACATTCTAGTGGTACCGACTACTATTTATATCCAATGATATTCCCTCACGCCTGCATAGATGACTCTGAGCATCACATTAGTAGCAGCGGTGAACGAATCCGGTCCAAGCTATCAAAATGTCTAAATCAGCCCAAGTTACCCTATCTAAGTGCCACCGAGGAAGGCATATGCTCAGGATGGCTGAAGCCGTGGGCCTCATGATTGAAAGGTTACCAAAGCCTCGTATACCTTTAAAAGTCATCTCTATCTCGTAATTAAGATTCTAACTTCCATCAGGGCCAGGTAGTTTGACAATGTCCATCAAAAGTGGCTAATACATTTGCCATAAAATGTGAATTTCATGAACAAGTGAGACCTTTTGGTAATTAAATTGAATACAGCATCGAATTGGGAATCAAGTGACAAGGACAAAAAGAATGGAGAATTTTGTAGCCTCATAAAAACCGTTCCTTATGAAGGAGTTTACTCATTGAAATGGGTTTTTCCCCCACAGCGGTGCCCCATTACCATTACATTATATTTCAGTAGACAGTCGCATAATCACATCCGACAGAAATGTATAACTGGGAAAAGTTAGACATAATATGAGATGCCTCTAGCAACCAAACCTTTCATTAGAGTTCAGTTTGTAATCATTCTTATTCTCGTTAACAAATAAGCTGCAAAACTGACTTGGTAATCCAAGAAAATCTCCTTCCAGATTATTTGTCGTTGGATTTTGTTCACTGCACTTTTGCCCCTACATTATCCATGATGCCTAACATTACATACCTCCATCAGCTCTACGCCCCAATGTTATTTAAACTAGTTTTTATGGAATATAGAAATGTCATTGAGAATAGCTGGCCATGGAGGCTGGTATTCACTTTAACAATTTCCTTCTTGGGATACATGAGGATGAAACGCATGTTTGGTGAGGTGAGGCTGAGGCCAGCTCAATATCAACCGATATTACAGGACAATGTTTTGCGATGAGCCCTTGTTAGAGTCGTGATCTACAACTTCTTGGAGGCTTCAGGAGCGCTCAGGCTCAAATTACCCAAGAAATTGACCTGTTTATTGACATTAAGGGGCTGTCCCTCAAAAGGGGTTTCATCACCTTTTTAAACAAAAGAAGGCGAAACCTACTCTCCTAATTTTATAGTTTGCGCTTTATTGTTGCAAAATGGTTGCTATTCACAATCTAAATTAGCTTCCGAGGAAGATTGATTTTCTTCTCTGTGACATAAGTTCTCCATCTTTAATGGTAAATAGTTTCTACAAGTTGTTTCATTTAAAGTAGTAAAATAAATAAACTATAAGTTTCTCTAGTCAAAAAGAAATTCAAATTCCTTTCCTTTGCGATGCATTTGGATTGAATGATGCTCTACCTCAGGTACGAGTGGTCAAAGAAGGACAAGAGGGGGTGGTTGTACCCCTGGGATCCTGATAGCATTCAAAACTTGGATTACAATTTTTTCAAAGCTTAATGCCGAAATCCAGTACTTCTCAATCATTTCATTAAAACAAGGAAAGATTTGTCCCCTTTAAGCTGAGACCACAGGATTCAGTAGTACGGCGTAATGAGGTATGGTGGCAACTCTGTTCATCTCCACTTCTTAAAGGTCCATAATCACTGTTTTAAATCGACAAAATAAATTTTTCCTAAAAAAATAAATGCTGATAGAAAAAGAAAAAAACAACGACGTCACGGGTTGGATTGAAGAGATTGTGGGTAAGGCAGACCACTAAGCATGGTGATTTAAACAATGAAATCGCAGTGCTTTCTGCAAATTTATGGGCAAGAGGGTTAGCCTCTAAAAGCGACCAATCGGGGGCTGATCACTTCTTTTTCTATCCCACTTTTATTACCCAGCGCTCCATTTTGTTGCTCACGTGATCCTGTCATTTACTGATTCCGCACTAAAGTTCTAACCACTTGTGGAGATATCAAGGGCTTATGGTGAAGAAGAAGGGATAAGGCAGTCACATCCCACAATGCGCTTTTGGCTAATGGTGCTTAAGGGGCCAGAAGATCTGTGTTGTCAGGCAGGAAGTACGCTCTCTTGCTCTACTAGGGAGATAAAGAAGAAGTAGAAGAGGAAGTTTGTCTTGCACAGTTTCGAAATGTATGGAGATGGTATCGAGAGGTTAAAAGCCATAAGCTGTGGTTTTTTTACCTCATCATTTAAGGATTGGGTAAGGGGTTGGTTTAAGGATGGAGAAGACACGCTTGCCACGTTCATTACAAATCATGCAATTATCACGTCAATCAGTTTTTTGCGTTTCACCGAAATTAAAGATGCCTTTTGAGCTCCTCCTACTCTCGATATGTCGTTCACTTTATCCATTTTCTTATAAGTCCCTTTAAAGTAATTTTAAATATGCCTATTTTTATAAAAGAAGGACTTACTTTTGTTAAATTCTCATCCGCTCCTCCATGCTACTGAGGTCACGTACGAAGGAGGGCGAACAATAGGGTCGAGGTATTACCTGACTGATTGAAAGGGCTCTAATTAGGGAGAAGAAGTGCCCCAGTTAGCACGGCCTTCTAGTACCTCAGCAATGCGAAGAAGTCAACAAATAGGGTAAGTAGGTAAAAATGGACAAATTGCATGCACAACGGTAGTACGTGGTTCTCACCAATATTGGTCTAGATAGCTTTGTTAGTCCGTCGCTTAATGTGTAGGTAGTGCAAGGGGGGCTCAATGTCACTGTCTTAATGACTAATGTGTGAGAGGCCAAGTAAGCGTACCTTCTGCAAAGTGGTCAAATTTGGTCCATGATGTTAAATTATAGGCTTTATTCTATCTAATTACTAGCCACTTTGGGTTTGAATTACTACAAAACGAATCTAAAGGTGACTTCAAGGTGACCTCGGTCTGGAAAGATTCAATTCGCCAGTATTAAAGCAGGCGAGCACAGGGTTGGATGACAGGTCGATCAGGCAATCTGATGACTAGATGTTCAAAGACATGACTTCCAAAGCTGTCAGACTTTTGTCCCTTGCTGGAAACAATTCTACAGCTGTGAAATGTGTCACTACTAACGGATACGAGTTTTATTATCCCACTTTATTGGGCCGGAAGTCTTTATCAAGTTGCCTGTAGGTTCTACGCTTTCCTTTGCAAGAACCTTTCATCATTGCACGCTTTTGATTACATTCACCGTATATAACCCTAATTAAGGATGTCTGGATGGATTCAAATTCAGCCACCTAAAAATTCTGTCCTGACGGATTGGGAAAAGAAAACTTTTCGATTGGGTAAAAACGCTACAAATTAATTGATGACGCCCTACAGTTTCATACCAGAAATGCGTCGTAATGGTATTGTTATGTATTTGATAATGGTGCAATTCAAAGCACTCACAAATGCTGGTTTAAACTTCGTAGTCATTTCAGTGACCACGGCTATTGCCTTTACTATTGTTATGAAGCCAGACGGGTACAGACACACACACACACAAAGATGGAAGGAGATGTGTCAAAGAAAACAGTTCAAAAGTCAACTCTCTGTCTTTAGTCAGCAGTTTATGACTGCAGATTTTTGAGGGGACGGGTAGATGGAGAGGTAAGTGAATGATAGAGTGATCAACTGACTACTCAATGTGTAACCACTGAGAAACTTGCGGTTGTGAGCTCTCAGAGGCCACTGTAGAAAGCAGAGGTAAAATACCATCATTTAGTATTGAGGCCTTCTTCATTGTGGTTGCATTCTGTGCATTGGAGCCGAGGCAGCAGGATCCGATAGCTCGCACCCTTTTGGAGCCTGTTGGATTGCTTGAAGTGTCCTCCAAAATGAGCACGAAGTAGGCAAGAATCCTCCATTGAACCAATCTTACTCCAACTTTGGTGAAAACCTCCGGTTTGTCTAGACCACCTGGGAAGGGTGGTCTAAAGTTGAGGACTAATTCACTGCTGCTGAAGACATGGTGTTTGAGAACGAGAGCAGCCGAACTGTCACCGTTTACAACCCTGTCAGCGAACTCTGCTGGTAGACGAATGTTAAAACCTTTTCGGACGCAGATAGCTTTACCATTGGCGACGAGGCAGGCGCGTAGACGAAGTTTAACTGGTGGAAGGGAGAATATATCTTTGATTAAAAACGCGAAATGAGCACAAATTTCACTTCAAGAGTGGGTTTAGTCACGGAAACAATCAACTAGGCCGTAATCACCTCTGTCTATTCTAGAAAGCATTCTATCATGTAATTCTCTGATGCCACAATGTGTTTATAACCAGTTGAGGATGATTTTTATGTCAATAAGAAGAAAGAGAACGAATAAGGCAGGAGCTACCACACCAACTCTTCTTTTGCCTCTGCCTATTCACCACCCTATTCCTCCTGTTCCCTTCCATATCGTCGCGTGCATTATCTCGTGGCCAATTTTTGACAGTATGAGGCGTGAGGTACGGAGATTTGTGCCGTCTAGTGAAAATTACACCATCAACTCACGTTCACTCTTGCCTGGTTTTCCCTATAAAGGAGGAAAGCCAAAGGAGGATAAGAAGCAGAGGGAGAAGGGGAAATTCTTCTTGCACACCTTTGGGTTGGGTGAAGTTATTTTAGTGGTGAGGAGGGTGAAAGGCAAGGGGTATTGATTTAGAGAACTACCAGACGATAGACAACATATAATGTAAGTGTTCAAGGCAGTGGGGAAATAGTGCATCACTTAGCAAAATGGTACTAATAGAAGGATACATATCCACGCGATTCTCCCCAGGGTTTGGCCATTCCCTGTACCAGGTTATACCGAGGTCTCAGTACTTACATTAGTTGAGTAGGTAGAGGTGGCCTCGTAAAAAGACTTCCCGAAAATTTGCGTTTTCAGCATTTAATAAATCATTAAGGAATTTATAAAGAAAATTAAAGATATCTCAGCAGATAATCCTCCTACGTATACATGTAAATAATCCGCGAGAGCAAGAGTGTAGACCAGGGAGAGAGAATGGGGATGAGGTGCGAGGGGAGATAATTGCAAACCTAACATATCTGGAAGTTGCAACAGCTTCCATGACGTTGTCATATGGGCACTGTTAGAGCTCTCATCTCTACTAGTTCCGTAGATTAATCATGCTAATAGGGATGAAATTTTCTACTTTTAAGGAAAAAAAGTAAAGCGGGACATCCATTAATTTTGAGCTAACTGAAGAACTTATCTCGTTGACTGGAGATCCTCAAATTTAGTTAAGATTAATACCAAGGCCTAACTTTTTAGCAAAAATTGACGGCAAAAATTATTTAGTTAAAATTATTCACTGGCCTTTTAAACACTTATACAGCAAAATGAAGCTACGTTTGGTAATTAACTTAGAGAGAAAACCCAAATCAAGATTTAATTTGGCTTTCCTTCTAACAAGATAAACAAGTTGTTTAGAAAACTTCTTAAACACCATACGGATATTACTTGATCTTTGAAAATTCCCAAAACACTTTTCAATTTTGCTTTTTACTAGGACGGAACAAAGTATTGTAAATAGAAATAACAATTGTATATACTACTTAATTCTTGACCGTTTTTTTTGGCCTTTTGTGGGAGTGATAAAAAAATGAACTGTACCCAAACAAAATACGAAAATGCTTTCGAAGCAAAAAAATACCTTGATATTTTGTCAGTGCAAGCAAACAGCGCGCTCTATTTGGCGGGCTACCTAAGGGCTAATGGTACAAACTTGACCTATCCTCCTCTAATGTGCATTTTCAGGGTCAAAAGTCCATGCTTTTAATAAACAAGAAACAGCTATTGGTCAGAGAAAGAAAACGGCCACCGTGGAGATAATTCTATTTGCTTCCTTAAATGTTAATGTAAACAAGTAGGAGGCTGATCCCCGTCAAATTGGAGTGTAAATGCATGGGACATTTTATATCGACTCTTGAGATTCTAGACGGATCTGTGGTCAGAGTACTTCGTTAGTTTGGCTCAAAATATACGCTTAGTTATACTGCTCTCTTTAATTTAAAAAGTAAAATTAGTGATGAGGAAACATCTCCTAGGGAATCATATTTTCTATGCCCGGCTAAAGTTGTATGAACCGACGATCAAAGAGTAAACCAAGCAGTTGTCGAAGCATAAAACATGGGACATCTGTCAATTTCGGGGATTGGATTTGAATAGCGAGGTGAAGGAAATGTTAAACGAGGCGAAAAAGAGAATCCTTTCAGATATTGCGGAAAGTAACTCAATCGGTTGTTGCTAGATTTGGGACCAATCAGATATACAAAAAGAATCACTAGATTTTATCACATCGTGATGCACTGAATTATTGCCAAATTAGATCGCTTACAGACAAGCACTTTAATGAGTAAGTAAGGGATTCTCTTTGTTGCGGAATGCACACTTTCCTTACAATCTTGAACACCCCTTCTGTAAAACGCCTCTTAAACGAGTCCGGTGAATGTGACACGAGACTGACGTTAACTCAGTGCCAAAACTGGAGGAGAGGGCAGAGGGTAGCCTCTCTCTAAATAAACTGTGTACCAAATCAATCACGATAAATGCAGTTAAAGTAACAAACCACTTAAGCATACATTGTAACTTGTTAACTTGCAAAGATTTACCCATCCCTCGAAGTAACTCTATCCAGCCCGAAGGTGTCCACGAAGAGCTTCCTCTTTTTCTCCCCCTTTTTCCTCTCCTCATCCTACGTGCGGTGATGATGCAGTTCTTACAAGACAACACGCAGCCCCACACCCCTTGCCTCTCACCGTAAAGGAAGTGATCGTAAGATATGGAATGCAAGACGGAATGGGGGAGAGGGAAAGGTAGGGAAAGAGGTTGAGCAAGGTATTTTTCGCCTTTTTGTTCATATTTTCCATACTGGCTTGTAAGTAAGTAAGTAATGAGAGTAATGAGAGAGTTTTTAGTGAAGGTTTTTAGTGAAATTAGACAACCGCGTGATCTAATGCCTCGCAGAATAGGCTATTAGGCAGTAAAAAGTGCGATATAAACTGACGTACCTTAGTGCAACAATGTTTATTTTTAGATATTAAACGAAGGAAGAGTTAATTATATCGTCAAGCCTAAGTCCTACTATCACAATTATACTAACTTGGATACAAAGAAGTTTTCTTCTTTAAAAAGTCCATCTCCACAGGATTCTCGAGAAGTTGTCGGAAATGGGGATTTCTGATTTCATGAATCTCAAATCGCAGATATCCCTCCTTCTCACGTTGTATTAACGATGCCAACACGTCTGCATTCAGCTGATAGACCTTTAAAATATAAATGTATTTTAAAATCTTATCGAAAATGTTTTGGGTGGACCTTAGTCCATCAACTATTAAAGTTTCCAACTTAGCTGTTGAACAAAGTCAACAACACATAAAAAACAAAGGAATTTTATTCCTAAGTGGTTCAACCAACTGGGAGCCTTTGATGTTGCTCAGCAATAACACCTACTTTGAGGTCCCCCTTTAAATGACCTAAATTTATAGGGTCGACTTTCGAAATGGACCCTAAAGAGAGGGTATAAGTTGTGGATAATTTATGATGATCTCACTACTTCTAATAATAGGGGTAAAAGACAACATGAGCTCTACCTATTTTGTTACAAAGTAGCCTCGAATGGCCCTTATAAATTAAAATTTGCACTTTAGGTCGGGGCAAACCCAAAGCGGGCAATTCAAAACAGCGTCCATCTACGCATTTCTGATGTCATGATAAAGTATGAATCACACTATATGCTTCATAATGAGCAAGTAATTTGTTTGGAATACATTTTCTTTTTTAAATTAGCTTCTTCCAAGAATTTCCAAAAAAAACGTCAAAGAATTTGTAAGTAATTACTTCTTGTCACCCTCAGAATTAAGGTTGGTTACTTATTTTAGAAAGCGGAAGTAGGACGCTTCATTTAGAAAGTAATGAAATATCACTTGTTGGAGGTATTTCCGAAGCCACTGGTTCTGTTCTGCTAAATACCTAAAATGGGCGAGGAGGGGAGAGCGAAGGGGACTTTTTAACCCATTTTGGGAGCTGACCCCTTTCACGTTAACCGCTGTCTCAAGGTGATGTTGGGCCCAGCTACTTTGTTGCTTAAAACAAAACTCAGTCGTGTATGTTCCATTACCATCTGATGCGCTTTGCAGGAATACCATATATGCGACGCATGTAGTTTCCTCCTCTGAGCCCAGTTACCCAAACATACTATGCGTTGCAAACGACTTCTTTGATGGCAAAACAATAAAACAGGCGTAGTGGAAATTAGCCGGCCTGAGAACACTCACTACTTTGATTTCTTGCAAAGCTTTCATGACATTATGATTGGGTGTTAGGGTACAACAAATCATCTGAACTATCTTGGTCGATTTTACTTTAAAATAGATCCTTACAGTAAGCGTATTGTTTTGTTGTTAATGGGCATTAAAATGGTATAAGTTTTGAGGCCTTCTCTCTACCCTCTTCCGTCTGATTTCCGACTCCTAGGAGTATTCTAAAACATTACTCCCTGTGACAATTAACTGCTGGTGTTGTCATCGTCATCCTCTTCACGATTAAAAAAGTTGTTCGAGAGAGATTTTTCCCCACTCAGGCACACGATCAACACGTTTGCCATCAGAGACGCATGTATGTGGAATTAGCTCTTCAATTGGTTGCATTAAAGACAGGTCGATTTATTTTGAAACAGTAAAAGAGATGTAAAATTCTTTACTCGAAAACATTTGCTTAATTTTAATTTTTGAGATGGGTAAAGTTTCACTGTTTTTAGTTACCTTTAAATCTGCCCAGGAATGTTTGGCTTTAGTTCAATTAATGGTGACAATTCATTTAAATATTTCTTCTCCCTTCTACTATTTCATTTTAATGTGCAAAGTTGGGGATTGTATCCATGATTTAAACAGATATTGATAGGATTTAAGCAAGAATTAACAATGTTTAAAAGTCTAATCAAATCCTTCTTAACGGGACTCAGAATCTCTCTGGAAGAATTTCAAAATTACATTTGATGTGTTTTGCCTTTCTTTTTGCTCAGCATATCTGTATTTCCTTTGCATTCTGTGACCTTTTTAGTTTAAACGCAATGTTCCATTTTCTGCGAAAAACCGTGCACCAGTTCCTAGAAGATTTCATATGGAATTAACTTATGAACCTGCTTAAATTTAACAGAACTTTTGTTTAAATAAGGTTCTCTAAGTAACTTTGCACATTTGTTTACGAGACCATTTTATTATTTTCCCATTGTGTTGTTAGTAAATGCTTAAGTTGATGGAAGGAGAAGCTGGATATTTTCATAATTGATTGGGCCTTAAAATGCCTAAATAAAATGAGGGCTCAAACTTAGAAGATACGTAACTCACATCGATGCACGGCTTACATCTTTCCCAACTAACATCGGTGGATAGGGTTGACTTTCCCCTCAGCGTATGATGATTAAATCGGTACTCCTTGGTAGCCACCAATAGGGCCTTTTCACCCGGTTTTCTGCCACTGAATTCAATTACCATCAGTCGGAGTTGAACCTCCTCCTCCGATTTATTATAGGGCATTCCACAGTCGAGAACAAAATCTAACACCGATGGGTGCCCCTCGGAAAATCGTGGAGATCCACAAGCTGCTGTAACTACTCCACTAGTCTGCACAAAGTGAGATTTGAACCCAATTAGAGCTGCCTTTACGATGTAGTTGGAGTTTTTCCATGGCTTTATTGCAGGCAAGTTTGTTGCATAGTAGAGATGGACACGCACTGTGAGGTTGTTCCTTCCTGTAGCATCGATGAAGACACGGTAGTTGATCGTTCCACCTGGAGCTTCCGCAGCAGTGAAGCGAGGAATCGGGGAAATTTGAGACGGGGGTGGAGTGACTATCGGTGTCGCTACAGTCAATGAATGTGTCCGTTTTCTCGATGGTGAGGTGTGGGTGGATCGACTGACCTGTGTGTCCAAAATTGATATCAATTCGGAGAGACTTGCACCCATTTCATTTTTGATGAGTTTTGGGGACAAACTTCCCAGGGTTATACGACGAGCAGCCCGTAGAGACTTTCTTCTTTCTACAGTTGCAGAGTCTACCTTGCCTTTAATTGGTTGGATTGAGGCTGGATCAGCTTGAACAGCATCAGGTTGTGCATTTACGGTTGATATTAAGGCCGGGATAGGGGACAACCCATCGTAACTTCCTTTAGCAAGATCGTGTAAAAGGGATGTGGATCCAGAGCGTGGCCGCTTTGTCGGAGGAGCAAGGAAGCCTCCAATTGTCTTGACGGCACTTTCAACTTGAAGACTCTCTCCAACGGAAGAAGTCTGGTAGGAAGAGATGGAGGGTCTTGTGGGGGCATGGTGAGGGTTGGTAGCACCGTAGAATTTTTCAGAGTGGCTTCGCAGTGGAAGTGACTGAATTCCAGCAAAAATTGAGCTGCGTCTAGATGTATCCAGAGTGCGTGAACTTGTTTTGGGTGAGGTGAGAGAAAAGGTTTCAATGACTCGGCGAAGAAAAATCACTGAGGAAGTAATCTTGTTTGAGGCGTGGCCATGTCGCGTTCGTTTGCGCTGTGGCCACCAGGGTGATGAAACGGCCAAAGTAGCCGCACAAATAAATACTGCAATCGCTGCAAGGGTGATGCAAATCACGAAGATAACCGATGTTACACTATTAGGCATTACGTCCATTTTTTTCTTTTTAAATCTAATCCATGCTCTCCTATTCAACCAATCTAAATTAAAACATTATTAATTAATATATCTTTAATAATCAAATAGCTCAAAATTTCCTACCCTTTTCGCAAGAAATATTTTTCCAAAAAAGTGTTCTCAGTACAGAGGCGTTAAATTAGGGCAACATGGAATTGTTGCTATCACTGTTGTCCTTCCATTAGTTTGAAATTTGGATGGACACATACAATTAAAGTGGTGTTTTATTGTTCCGCCTCTCAGAAAACGGAAACAAACTTTTGTTGCAACAGAAATGAGTAAAAGCTGAGTGATTTAATGCAAATATAGAAACATTACAAGAACGTGACTTTGTCATGAAATAAGAAGTGACACCTCATTTCTAAGAGCTGCAGGCAAGGAAATTTTTAGTCAGTAACTGCGATAGAGTTATTGCTTAATAAAATATTCACCCAAGAGAGGAGATAATTAAAGGGTGTTGGAGACATAAATATGCCTCGAAGCTAATGGTAGGAATTAACGCATCCATGAATAGACATAAGCCACAACTTAAAAAAAAATTACGGCTATTTAAAATTTACCAAAGTGCTACACTCCCAGAAAAGCTGTTCCTAAGTTTAAATTGGAAAATATATAAAATTTAGATCTTCTTATTTAACTGAGCTATTAGCCCGATGGGTTTTATCACGAATAATAAAGTGCTGGCAGAGAAGTCTGAAGGAAAGTACTTCATTAGGAATTCTGAATAAAGAGGAGCATAAATTGGAAAAGTGAAGAAAAGACCCACCGGAACTGTTTTCATGATAAAATGAACAGTTACAGATGAATGTGGCAAATGGGATTTTTGAAGAGTATTAGACCAATCAAAGAGGGAGTGAGAATTTACCAATCAGAATAAGCGTTAATCTCCTGCATGATCTGGCCAAATTGTCGCAAAAGTGCCCAAGCAAAATTTTTGCTGACTATTTCGGCACGTTAAACTTATTAAAACAAGCCGATATGACATATAAATTAATTCTGCGTAGCTAGGTTGTCTAAAACTACGATTCCTATGCTTTAGAATAAAATATTTCATTCGAATATCAAAAATTGCCTTGTTCATGATGATGGGAGAAAAGTGTACTGATCCACTACTTTTCCTGTGATATATGCCTTTAACGTTTCTATAGTGATCGCCGTTGGGATAACAGAATATATTTCAACCAGAATATTCAGTTTTTCTTATAATTCTTCAAACAATTTTTCCCACAATTTGGTAATGAAATACTATGAAGTAGTGTTTAAATCTGTGACCCGAAGGATGATTTGGCGATTATATGTAAATACAATATATATATATTTCAGGTAAAATCTGGTTCATGTACTTCATTAAATATGTCCTTTGCCGAAACGGTGAATGTCATTGATTATTAGTTAGACTCTTAAATATGTATCCATTACATTCCTAATGTCCGCTGTTAAAGACTGCGTTTCGAGATGCTAACCGTTTAGACATTCATCTAGACAGGCGGCTAATGGGAGTCAAAGCCAAATCGTTTCGAAGTTGGTAACCTCACCTACTTTTCCACATGGTCACCTACCACATTTATGCACTTATGTCAGAAGACAACAAAAATCTGGAGGCTCTCGAGACAAACAGATTTGTCAATACAACCAAATTAGCATGAGACGGCACAGAAAAAACACCTTTGTCCTATTCTCTTGATTCAAATATACATATTTGTGGTGTAAATATCCACTTCCACGTTTTCTGATTTTTTGGCCAGCATTTGATCGGGATGGCTGGTAATAATAGAATAATAAAATATATGACAGTGGTGACCAATTTTTCTTAAGCCTTGCACATAACATTAGTATAGCGAACCGGGATTGCCCTAAAAACGAAAGAAGACACAATACTGGGGCAGATTATGTACCGCTGACACACAGAAGGGGATAGGACTACTGACATGGCTCGGAGGAAAGGCCACCTGGTAAACATGCAATAGTCGATCCTCTAAGCAGTCCTTTACAAAAACTGTGAGCTCAAAAACGACTGATATATTGGATAGCTCCTCTCCTCTTTTAACCGTCCTCCCATTGCTCGCCTTGGTCAACCTCTGCACCAGCCATCACAACGTTATTGATGTTGTAAAGGAATCACCCACACGCCAAGCATGCCAAATTTGTATGTAACTGAGGAAATACTTGACCTTAATATCGCAGTTACCTCATGGTAATTTGACTAGAGCCGAAAACTAAGTTGGAGATGAGGGATGATGTGCTGGCTGTTGCACATGTCCATAGCTAGTCTTAGGAACACTTACCAGAAAGCAGAGTCGCATAACAAAGTAAGAAAGTTAACATTAGGTCCGTTGTGTAGGGTTTCGTTTCTGTTCCTCCTTACCATGTTGTTACCACTTTTGATCTCGAGCGGAGTGTTTTTTGTCGACGCGCAGTAGGGCATGGGGCTAGTGACATAGCCCGTGGGCCAGACCTCAAGCTGGAGGCGCAATGGCGGAGCCTCTAACTAGCCCGTCATCAAACTCGAGAGATGAACATAAAGTAACGTATTACAATTATGATCTATATACCGAATAACAGTTTCAGATACGGATATTTATTAAAACCTTCGAATAATTTATAAACAAAAATTCTAGACGAGAAAACAAAGTGCTGACTGTTCGCACGTGTAAAATGTATTTTGCTCTTGAATAGACCTAATGATAATAGGAGTACCTTCTAGAATTCGTTCAGTCAATTGTTTTTGCTTAACAAAGCGCATTAATTTGTCTGGCAGCCTTCAAGGCTTATTCTTCTCAGTTAGTGGCGGATTAAACAAATTATTTCTCTAGCACTTGGAGAAACTTCTCTACCATTGTAATTTTTAATCATCTCAATTACTAAGGTTACATGATACCTCATTTCTGTCCAGTCTGATGTGTCTTATCTCTATTTAGGTTTGAGAAGTTTGTTGCCAAGACAGAGCTGACTGTTTAAATAACTTTTACCGAATGGCGGCCTGTATCATAAATCTCATCAGTAAGGTCCTGCATTACTGTGACCGATCTAACCGCGATTAAATCCTGTCCAATGGATTTAAATGCTTTGGTATATCTTATGTTTGATGGAATAGTAGAGTCTATCATGAACAGTGGCATACATATGAGAAGCGGATACCACGTGGAAGGTTCCATGAACAATTGTGAAATGTTTGCGTCATCAATTTTCTTATAATTTTGCAAGTTCAAAGAAAATTTTTTAGTGCTGTATCCAAAGGAACCATAAAAACACTGCTTTAGAATTTTGTATTCTTTTTGATAGCAGTCGTGTAAGCAGGAGAGGGAGCAATTAGTCTTACCTTTAAGATTGAGTGGTTCTATCTGACATTTCCATTACTAACTCAGATGAGTACGAGAACTTTCAAGTTTTTTGCATTAGAACTTCGAATAATTTACTAAAGGGAAGAGAGCATTTATTCCCCCATTTTGTGCTGAGAAAAGTTTTTTTTTAGGTGAGAAGGTAGAAAATTCGATATCTAGAAACGACACCGATGTAAGTAAAAAATCGTACTGCGGAGAGTAAATCGCTCTTGTAGTTAATTTCAGCCAATTCCTATACAATGTTTCGATTGTTCCTTTAACTCTCTGCTTTGGTAATGGGCCGCGTAGGCTCCTAGCCACTGTACCTGCTTCGAGTGGAGTGGCCTTCGGTCTGTGCTAGTATTCCCAAGCCCTACTGCACGTAAAAATTGCACATTCCGCAGAGGGTTTTATGCCTTTATTTTCAGAAAATTCTCGGAGGAAATAGTAAGCGAATCCCATCTTAAAGGTTACTTATCCTGATTTTTTCGGCTATGCGATAAACCTTAGTGGGGCAGGGGAAGTGCATATACTGTAGACGGGAAATTTAGTGACCATCCATAATTGGAGGGCTGAAAAAGACGTCTGCCTTCAGCAACTATCCTACTCATGAGGTCTGCAGAAAAACCAGTAGCATCTGAAGCAGCAGCCGTTAACTGTCTGATAAAGTCTTTTACAAAGCTATCTGTCGTTCCTGTTTGACTATATCAATTATGTGAAATCGCGATGTCTTCTTTACCTCTCTACTGGCTGGATAGATCCTAGATACATATGACTGGGTAGCGTTGAAGTGAGAAAAAGGTGGCAAGGGGAATAGAAGTGGAAACCATCCCTACAGAACTATGCTAAATCCCATACATTTCTATTTGACCCTGCTTGCATGCCAGTGCTCTTACTACTAGCGCTAGCACATTCTTCCTTCCCTTTATACGGTTATTGAACGTGAAAAAATCTCAGGTCCAGTGAAACTGCCAAATGTGAACAGTGGTTTTGCAATCAGTTACCTTCTCAGTCGCATGGACATTCGATGACTGGCATAATTGGCTTGTGGGCGTTTTTCTTACAGCACCGAATGCTTTGAAGTGTTTGACGCTGGAGGTTGATTAGGGAGAGCTCCGGGGAGGCCGCTCAAATGAGGAGATGGTTTTTGGTTACCTGTTTAACTCTCGGTTTTGGTGACGGGCCTATCCTCTGCGTCATACCGATTGTCCCAAGACCTTCTTTTAGGTGGACAATACATATTTTATTTAGGCGTTAATCTTTCAGCCCCAGAGAAATCTCGGGTCATTACACTTCCATGCTCGTCATCCTTTTAACCACCGTCTCTGATATTCTTTTTAGCCGTTTTTTGTCACACGTTGTAAAGCTCATTAGCTGGATACAAAGCTTACACGTTATTGTTGCACAAATGTGAGAAGACATTTGAACTCTTCGTCAGTCGTAGCTCATAATTTCTGCTTGGTCCAGGGTTATGCTCATTTTGTAAAGTGCTCAAGGCTTCATAGAGCACTCGCAATTTATGGAATCGTTTACCTAATTACAGAGCAATTCGAAGTGATTGTATATACATTCTCCCTGATTACTTTGTCCCACTTTCACTGCTGTTCATTCCATTCTGCCATCATAAGCATTAAAGTAGAACATAAGTTGTTTTCTCGCCTCAAAATATTTACCCAAATGTCGTAAATAGCATCACTACAGCCATTTTATGGCCAATGGGGCATGTTGTTACAGTAAAATTTTAACTGCCTTTATAGACGATAAAAAATATGGTAAATGTTTAAAGTTGACATCGCGTAAACAACTCCTTCATCCGTCTTCTGCTTTGGTACTTATTTTTTTTAAAAAAACCCAGTCTTCAAATTTGCAGCCTTTTATTCATTCCTGTAGAGTTTTCCTCACTACTGTCGCCATCTGGGCTCTTGAGGCTCCTCCGAAGTAATTTTGAGTTTGGGGAAAATAGGGGGTTTGACAAGTTGGGACGGAAAGTTGTCATTAAAACTAAGGGAGTTTAAGGACTCGTCTAATGGAGGTTAATTGCCGTGACAGTAAACTGTTTTCGAACCCATCAGCAAACAATACCACATTGATCCTTCGTTACTAGGTGCTTTATTGTAAGGACATCAAAATACGTCGTACGACCCTGGTTAAATTTTGTGTAATTTATCAATATTCCTGAGTGCTGATGAGTTTATTAAAGTTTTGCATTTGTAAAACCAAATTCTCAAATAGCTTTTAATAAATAAACCAACACAATTTTGAGAGTTATAATAGAGTGTTTTTTATACGATACAATTGTTCCTAGATTAGAAGCTGGTAAAATCTCGGTTAGACTTGACAACCGTCAAGCAATGTCGACGGATCTCTTGTTACTTTGCATTTATAAGTACCAAACAATTAATTGAAAGGAGGCTGATAACTGTTGCAGGTAGCCCCCAGAACCGATTCTTTTGGATTTTCTAGAAGTTTCACTCGATGGTTAAACTCCGAACCTTCTTGCCAGTCGTGCTGTTGCGCGATTCCGCCTAACTGGTTGATATCAAGCAGAGATGCCCTCTAGGTGTTCAGGGTCAGTCTGTCACCATAATTATGCGTAACTGGAAAGATAGAGACAGACTCATATCCAGTCATCTATCTTCTCTGGCTCTCAGGCCCTCTGCTTACTCAGTACGGTAGTGATATACATCTACAATGAAAATCTTGTCCATTGACTACTTGGTTAGTAACCTCGAGAGGATATGAGGAGCCCCGTAGAACTAGAAATTCCTGGCTGTAATAAGTTACGACTTAGTTTATACTATAGGTTTGACAGTTTTTAAGTGTCTAGGTTGTTCTGCATGATTGACTACTGTGGTGATAGGTTGGGAGTCATAACTACTACAATCGGAATCTCCACTGATAAACTTAACTACGGTCATCCTTCAGACCTTCAAAATATCTATAAACATCTAGTTCTCCATAATCAAGTCGTTCCATGCCCATAGTCTCCCCTTATTGAAAAAAAATTTGCTTTATCTTTACGTGCGTTTGCTACCACCGCTGTCTTGCAGCCTGCCTAACGGCTTTTAAACTGGGGCCTTCCGCTAGGGACCTGCGTGGCAAGCTAAAAGTTGGATTTAAATAAGTGACATTTTCTGTAGCGAGTAGTAGACTTTGCTGCCAAAAAAGCGCAAATTCATTTCATGCAGTCAGTAGAGTTGCTGTTTGAGTGATTAGATGGAGCGCTTAATCAGGTTTGGTGGTAGCAAAAGAGCGGTTTTAATTCATTTAATTGACTCACTTTGTCTAAATGGGGGCTAATTTCAAAGGCACTTTTAGGAAATCAAAAACTTTTTTTTCACTTGAGAAATGAAGAAATTCACTGCAGGGTTTAACACAATACTAGCTGATCCAGTTTTTTATTTATTTATTTTTTTTTTGTAAAAATGTACTTGAGACAACCATGAGATTGTACCTTGGTCACTTTCTTTTGCAATTTTACGGCAAATTTAACTTAATCAATTAGTGTTTTATAATGTGGACCTTTTTGACAATTTTGAAATCCTTATAAACGAAAGTAGCATAAAAAAAGAAGATGCCACTCACTAGAGCACTAGTATGGCCCAAAGGTCATGCAGCATAGGAGAAGTACAACCTGCGTAGGCACGTCTGCCTGCTCAGCCTTACATGCAGTAAAAAAGATTTTTGTCCATTTTTTGAAGGAATGTCAATCACTACTAGTCCACGTAGGCCAGGTGTCCTCGAAAAATAAAAGCTGTCAAAGGTTGACTCCATTTGTTAAGCTTCGGCATAGCTAGCCGTCATGCCACCGTTTACCCTGTAGGCACTTGTCAAATACATTAGAGTGTTCTTGTCGGTTAGGCTTGACAATAGGTTCCAAGGGCTGTCAGTTTATTACTCCAATGCTATACTTTATTCTCAGATGATCCACTACCCCACCATGCAGTTTTAAGGCAGGCACCACCTCAGATCCACAAAACTACTTTTTTCTCATAGTGGAATGCAGAAACGACAGTGCACCTAGACGGTTAAAATACGACCCATGTGACCTGATAACGTTCAGACGGGCAACATTACAAAATAGTAAATATCCTTGTACCTCATACCACAAATCTTAGCTATGGGAAGATTTAAACTTTAAAAATGTTAGGGAGAGAGGATGGGGGAACC